CTTAATTTATTTTGGAGGTTGTTCCTGAGCAGAACATAAAGACCACGCTTATTTTTTCAGGCAGCAATCTAGTCCATTGCATGGACGCTTCATAACGTTTCAACCACTCTCCCACTGATGGGCATTTGCGTTGCTTCCCATCTTATGCTGTTCAAAATAATGCTGCAATAAAAAATCTTGTACAGACAGAAGTTCACAGGTAAACACTATTTTTAAATGGGGGCAGTCTGGGAGTTTAGGCAGATTGTTTTCTCTTGTGATCTCCATTCATCGTTTGCATATTTGCCCCATGCATTCTAAGATCCAAGCACGGAGAACGCTGCCATCTTTAGCAAGTGTTCCAGATAGACTAATAATTAAGTAAACACATTGCCTTCCAGTAGATGGCAAAATGTTTCAACAGCACCTTCACTGTGAGATCCTACTTTACAAGGAATTTTTTTTTATATGAATGTACTTACTCTTTTAGATAGCAATTCTTGAACGTATACTGCTTATTATATAAAGCAAGAGCTTCTTGAGTTTCCCAAGAATTGTCCTGGAAAGGAAATTGATTTTGAAATGAGATTAGCAGTCTCTTAATTTCACTGAGTTATCTCATTAAATGAAACACTTCCGCAAACTTGGATATTAAGTAAATTGAATTTGAGGCTGGCATTATTCTCTAAATTGAATTGGACTGTTTGGTCCCTGAGGTATGACTGGTATGGCTTGGAAGCACTGTAACGCCACAGCTGAAACAGGACCTTTATTTATGTACGTTGAATCTCTACCCAATTAAAATGTCTCAACGTTTCCTGCATTTTGATAGAAAATGAATAGCGAGTTATTTTCTTTAACTACATAAATATTTTAAATAAAATTAAAACCCAGAAGCTGTTTAAAATTTCCTTATCAGAATGTGTTCAGCTACCTGGAATATTTTAATCTGCATTCTTAGTAAACATGAACACTGTATTTACATTCTGGCTTTCGTATTACAATGCATTTTAATTAAAGTATTTAGATAAATGTTCCTGGCTTGTGGATTTGTTTCAGAAACCGGCCATGTGTGACAGACATCTTTGGGAGAAAAACTAAGTGAATTTCCAGGCTCAGGCTTCTCAGCTAATGTCCTATGGACATCTTTGGGGCTATAATCCATCCTGCATCCCTGTTGCTGGAGTAATATCCTTACCAAACCTCGATGGCCTGCTGGGATTCTAAGCCCCTCAAATCAACACCCCATTTTTATCTGGTCTCACCTACTGGTCTCACCAAGGCAACTGCTCACAATCTCCCCAACCCCATTTGGGCAACGCTGCAGAATGCTCATGAGCATGGACTCTGGATTCAGACTTCCTGGCTTCCAATCCCACCTTGATGACCACGGATGACCATGGACCTCTTCATGACTTCATCTGTAAGATGGAGACAATGTATTGTACTGCACAGGCCCACTGTGATGATCAGATAATAGTCTGGCATTGCCAAGTCTGAACGGCCATTAGCAATAAAACCAACCCGCCATCCCCCTTACTCTCTTACAGTTGCGGTGGATTAGAAGTAGATTAGAAGCCCCCGGAGAACTTCATCTTCTCTGGATTCTGACTCTGCCCAGGGTTACACACAGAGAGGGGTTTAATCACTTCTTTCTTGGCTCTTTAACTGAGAGTATGTACAAAGGGCTTGAGTCCATGTTAATTGTACCAGTATAAGGCACAGATTTCTATACCATCCATCAATGATTTAACCCAATTTCATACAAAAAACAGAACGTAAAACGCTCCAACAAGGCTTACTCTCCTGGGGTGGTCACTGCATTCTGGGCTAGGCCCAGAGCAGACTTCATAGACCCATGACCTGTGCAGTCACACAGAGCCCATGTTCAGAAAGGCCCTGTGTTTGAAATTCTTAATGATTTTTGGACGAGGGGTCCTGCATTTTTGTTCTGGGCCCCACAAATGACATAGCCTGTCCTGGCTAGGTTGGGTTACCACCCACTCTCTGAAAAGCCCACGAGAAAGGGAGGTGGAGACATCTTTTCTGCACTCAGCTTTCATCTCTCTTCTTCTAACCCCAGGATCCTGCTTCCCTTTTGGAAGTTTACCTTGCAGTCATGCACGGTGACTTAAACATGGTGATCCAAGCGAGGCCCATTGGCTCTCTTCGCTGGGAAGTGAATCTTGAGAACTATCGTCCCCCTTCCTTGCTAACAGAACCCTGATTTACAACATGCCCTGCCCCAGGAGATAAATCCCTGGTACAAGCCGATCACAGCTCTCTGTTCTCTTTTGCCAGAGTCTTGCCTTCCCAGCCTTCCTTGCAGCTAGGGGTGGCCATTTGGCCCTGTTCCAACCAATGAATGAATCAAGAAAATGCCCTATTGCTGCTGCCCTTCTTTCCTCCTGCTTGGGATACTGATGTGAGGACGTATTTGGAGCTGTAGCAGCCATCTTGTGACTTTAGAGCCAAAAATCGAAGTGATGTGGACAGTGACATGCTTGAATTGCCAAACCAACCTGAAACCATGCCTTTGCAGACAACTTGTTGTATGAAATAATGAAATATCTTTATTATTAAGCCATTCTTAGTCAAGATCTCTGTTACCTGCAGCTGAAAACATCCTGATATAAGAGCACGGAAATGGAGAGAAAAAGAAAGAAAATGGGAGCAGATGCATCACAACTTTGACCCCCTGACCACACTGGACATTCGTTCCTGTTGCTCAGATTCTCATTACTGCTTGTGTTCCTGTCCTTCCTAACCTTGTCTTCAGCCTTT